TTCTCTAGAATTAATAAAATAAAATCAATAAGTAATTACATCATTTTAATTTTCAAGAATATTTCAAAACTTTCTAGAATTTTAAAAAAGGAAAAAAAATTAAAAAATTATATTTAATGTACTTTTAATCATTTATGTGGTAAACTAAACTTGAAATTAAAAAATTATATTAGCAAAAAATTATTTAATTAGTGTAAAAAAATATCATTCGAGAAAAAAATATAAAAATTTCAATACATTAATAACAGAAAAGTTGGCAATCAAAAACAACTAAGAAGAATAAAACGAAAGAAAATTGATGTTACATAAACCTGTGAAACGAGTATGTATTTGGCACGTAATTGTCGTATACAATTAAAGGAAACTATCAGGAAAAATATACGATAAGTTTATTGACCGATATCATATGTACAAGGAATATTGTTGCTAGGAAATAAAAAAGTCAATGCGCTGATGTTTTAATTGAAAAATGAGAAGGCAACGTTATAGTCAAGCAAAAACAAAATAAAATTAATGCGCAATATCTAAGAAATTAGAATGATTAATCTAGATAAATGTTTTTTTTTTTTTACATAAATTACTAAAGACAGTATTCTAAAATTTAATTTTATCCTAAAGAAAACATAAGTAAATTGAAATCTATGATCGATTAGTTCCTTAATATCAGTAACAGTATGATCCTATATAATCGGATCATTTCAGATTTATTTTATCTGACAAAATTTAGAACGACTTTGAAACTTCTTACGGGTATTAACCTTCGTTACATAGAAAGTTGGTGACTTCGAGGAATTTAAGAAAGTTGTCTATATGAACTCTACTGTTTGTTTCATAAAAATTATCAAAAATGAAGAATGTAGGTTAGGGTAGAAATTGCATTCAATTCGTGAATCGTCATCAATTGGTTTAATCTTTCTTTGTAAAATTAATTTAAATTTTAATCTGTTTAAATTATAACGAAATTTCTCTAAATTATTATTTCTTAATTAAATTATTTCTCTAAATTAATTTAAATTAATTTAAAAAACTTAAAAAATTTATAGTTTGTATAATAATAAAAGTTTTTTTGTATTTTAAGAAAATTAGAAATCCAATTTTCTTTCGATTCGTTATTATATCAATATAAATATAACAATCGAATCTTTATGAATGAAATGATATCTAGATGCAATCCAACAAACTTTGTATTAATCACAATGATTATCCAAGTAATAATTTGTTTGTATAAGATAACGCAAATAAGATTCAAGATCTTCATTACACTTTAAAATTTTTAAATTTTGAATTCTAATTTTTAAAGTAATTTTTAATTCTTAATTCTTAATTTTTAAATTATGACGCAATGACAAATTCTTCTCATTAAAAATATATTTATTATAAAATCTTTTTTATAATAATTTTATAATAATTTATTATAATAATTTTTATTATAAAATCTATAAAATCTGTTTAATATCTTGGTGTTTAATATCTTTGATATTAATTAAGATTAAGATTAAGATTAAACCAATTGATATTGCTAATGTTACTAAACCAATTACGGTTATCGCTTTTAAGATCTTAAAGTAAAGAAATCATTTTAATATATAAATCATCCTTATTATCTGTGTATATAAATACAAATAATTAATGTATAAAAATACAAATAATTCTATAACATAGAAAAAAAAAAGAAAGAATAAGAATTGAAAACATAAATAGAAATATATTTAAAAAAAAATATTTTAAAATTGTATAAAGAAACAGTCTTTGAGTGAACTTTCAATCCCAGAATTATTTTCACACATCAGAGTTTCGTGGTAGTTGTAATACCTTATTAACGATACATATTTCGGTTATCTCGATGAGAAAGTTGAAAACGGGTCGATCTTTCATTGGTGAAGGCACGTTAATACGAGAGCAGGGGCCAGTTTATAAGAAAAGAATTCAATGCTTTTTCAATATAAAACTTTATCTTTTCCACTTTATCTTTTGTCTTATAATTTATAAATGATTTTTTTTTATTCCAATGTTAATATAATCTTATAAAAATATATATATTTTATATATTATAAATATGTATATATATATATATATATATATATATATGTATAAAAATGAAATGAATTATAGATGAGTAGTATAAAATATTACTTAAGAATCTTTGTACTATGCTAGACAACATTCATATATGTATATCTTCAAAGTTCAATGATTCATATGTAGCTATATACGACCTCGGAAAGAATCACGTCACTGTGAATTAATTTTGTTTACATTTCTAGTATAGATATATAATATTGTTAGCATATGATATTGTTAAATAATATATAAATAATTATATTGTAAAAAGTAAATTTGTTCTTTTTATCTTTTTTTTTTACATTTTATTAATCAATTTAATTTTTATCTATTAATTAAAATTTATATATTCAAATTTTTTTTTATATTTTCTTATATTTTATATCCTATATTCAAATTTTTTTTATAAAGAAAATGAAAAATTAAATTTTGAAAAGAATTATTGCATTATTTGATCACATATCAATCTAGTTTCGAAAACAAAAAATATAACGATAAAAAGATAAATCATATTGATTTTGATAACAATAATAATGATAAGAATGATATTGTTTTTTTCTAAAAGATTATCAAATATAGCAAAAAGAATTAATAACAAAAATTTATTAAAAAATAAATAAACAAATATTGTATTTAGAAGAAATAATAATTGATTAATATTTTAGTAAAATAGAAAATAAAAGTATTTAAAATATTTTTAAAATAAATTTTTAAAAATAATTTTAATACAAATACTGCATAATATAGAATTGATATTTTCAATTATTGTATTTAAGATATAAATATGCCATTAAAAAATCAAATTTATAAAAAGAATATAATAAAAAAGCAAATTAATATTGCATCAAAAATATATTTTACATATAATACATATTCATATAAGCATAATATGTATATCTATCTTTGATCATGTTGCTAATTTTCCTGCATTATTTTCTCTAAACAAAACAAACATTCCATATTTAAAAATAATTTTATCCACAAAATTTTTATTAAATAGATACTAAAAATCACAACAAAATATTTGCAAATTTTTATACAAAATATTATTGTAATCTTAAAATTTATAAATAATAAACTTTACAAATCAATTACATCAATTACGTTAAGAAAACAAAAAATATTGAGATAATTAACAAAAACATTCAAGTTGGAATAATTTAATATTCCCTAAATGCAATATAATACAAATATAATACATTATATTAGTCTAAATAAAATATTTTTACAAAATATATTTTCTGTAATAAAATAACATTAAATGCAAATAGGGCATAATTTGATCTCACTAAGATCATTAAATTTTTTTATTAATCCATCACCAACCTATTTTAGATAAAATTTCTTTAGCTTCTTCAAATACTTTCTCTGGTAATTGCATACTATTTACTTTATATACTAAGCCTTCTTTCTCAAAATATTCAATTATAGGTAATGTATTGGAGATATAAGTTTCATGTCTTTTGACTAAAACTTCTTCATTATCATCAGACCTTCCACTACCCGCTGCACCACGATTTAAGCATCGCTGAGTACATACTTCTTTACTACATTGACAGAATAATACTCCTTTTATTACACATTTATTGGACATTGCCTATTAATGAAATAATATGTTAAAAATGTATATATAAAAAAGATAAACATTATATATCAATTTATCTTTTAAGAATATAATTTCCAATTATTTTAACAATGTCAGTATATAATATTAATAAATTTATTATTAATTTTATACCTCATTCCAACCATCAATATTATCTTGGTTTCGTGGAAAACCATCAATCAGAAATCTTTTATGAGGACTATCGGTCATCTGCATCGCACGATCCAGAAGACTACAAGTAATTGCAACAGGTACAATTTTTCCATCTTTAATATAATTTTCAATGAGTTCTCCATATTTCGAATTGGAATTCATACGCTCCTCTCTTAATAGATCACCAGCTGATAAATGTACATAACCATATTTTTCATTAATGTTCCTGCACAGTGTACCCTTACCTGCACCAGGACCTCCCAAAATAAATAAAACTTCGAATTTCTGAATTTCAGACATTGTAAAAAATTGAAGTTTACTTGAAAATACCTTGAACATAAAATACAGATGACCAGTTATACTTAAATATTTAAGTTCTCGGAAGTACTTACTTATATACATATTTTGAATACAATTTCAAAACATTAAGGCGGGCTTTTCAAAAATATAATTTTATTAAAATTAAATTTTTAGTAACTATTATAATTATTTGAACATAGTTATTATTATATTCCATATAATAATTTTAAAATCATAAATATATTTAAAACTTAATTGATATATTTTATTATTAAACTTTATTGATATATTTTTTATAGTTTTTTATATTTTATACATTTTGATAATTTAAATATTTAATATGCACATTACTCGAAATACGAAATTTCATATGTAATATTTTTATAAAATAAACACTTTATAAAATATTTTATAGAATAAAATAAATAATCAATTTTTATAATAATCTTATTTTAATATATATTCATTTATATAATGTAATATAATTTTTATATTACATATGTTATACTACTTACTTATTATTTAAATCAATATGTTCAAATCTGATTAAATTTGACTTAAATCCTTTTTTATCTTTCAATTAAAACAATTAAAATGCTTTTTATTACTTATTTATCATATTTCTTCTATTAACTATTGCGTATCGAAATATTATTAGCAAGAACGCATGCGCAACTGTTATATAATAATTATAGATATATAAGTAATTCTGCACTAAAGCATGATAAATTAATTTCTAGCATGTTTAAGGTTTAAGGAATTCCTTACATAATGTAAAAAAATGTCAAAGGTTTGTTATGATGACGTAGAGCTTGTAAATAATAATATTATTATTTTATATGTACAAATGCTATTTTCAATAATGCATATTTATCATAATATAACTTGAATTAAAGGAAATTGAGGTTATATAAAAGATTATTATTATTTATAAATAATAAGAAATTGATAATGATGATGCGGTGGTATCAACAATTATTCAAACATGATAAATATTTAAGATTTTATATGCAATTTAATAAAAAAAAATCTGTTATTCATTTATGTTCTTCTAATGATACAATTCACACTGTATCTTGCATCTATAACAAACATAATTATGAAAATGGTAAAATAGAGATGCAAGAGAGATTAAAGTTAAATAAATCCGAATCGAATAAAAGAAATAAAATAACAGAATTTGCTAAAATTGCAAATATTCAATTAAATCAAAAAACTACATTTTCTAAAAAATTAGTAGATAATTCTCCATCTTTAATACAACCATATTTAAGACTTATAAGACTAGATAAACCAATAGGTAAGATAAGAATTAATTATAAATTATTATTATAATATGAATGGTTAGATTTTTTCATTTAATAATTTTATATAATTATATATTTTTAAATTTAATTTGAAAATAAACATATAATTCATTATTTTATTATCAAAATTAATATAATTTAATAATTCAAGTAATTAAAAATAATTTTTATATATAGGGTCTTGGTTATTATTTTGGCCCTGTGGTTGGAGTATAGCTATGGCAGCAACACCAGGTGCCCTACCAGATTTTCAACTTTTAAGTCTTTTTGGAATAGGGGCATTTATTATGCGTGGAGCAGGATGTATTATAAATGATATGTGGGATCAAGATATTGATGGAATGGTAATATTGATTTTTGAATATTTTAATATAACATATTATAAAACAATTTTAATGTTAGGTAGCCAGAACAAAAGATAGACCATTGGTTACTAGAGAAATTTCACCTCTACAATCATTGATTTTCCTTGGAAGCCAATTAACTTTGGGATTGCTTATATTATTGCAATTAAATCTTTATAGTATTATATTGGGAGCAAGTTCACTAGGTATTATTTTAAAAAAATTTTTTTAAAAATTTATAAAACGGTATCTTTTAATTTTAATAATTAATTGCTAAAACTGTTTTAATTTTGAAAATGCTTTTATTTTAAATTATTATATAAAAGAGCAATTAAAAATTATTAAATTTTTTATTATAGTCTTAGTAATAATATATCCTGTTATGAAAAGAATAACATATTGGCCTCAATTAATTCTTGGGATGACTTTTAATTGGGGTGCACTTTTGGGTTGGTCTGCTGTGCAAGGATCATGTAATTGGTCTGTATGCTTGCCACTTTATACTGCTGGAATTTGTTGGACACTTTTATATGATACTATATATGCACATCAGGTAAATTTAAATTTTTTTATTATATTATATTTATTTATTATTTGATTTTGATATCATGAATTTTTGAAAAAATATATTGCACATTAATTTTCTTATATAAATATATTGTATTTTTTAAATTAATTTAATATTTTAAGTAATATTTGAATAAATTCATATTTTATAATAATACATGTTATATATATCCAAATATATATATTGTATTTAAATTAATATTTATTTTTTTTTTTTTATTTTTGAATTTTTGAACAGGATAAAATGGATGATGTTATAATAGGTATAAAATCAACAGCTTTAAAGTTTGGAGACAAAAGCAAAATTTATTTATCTGGATTTAGTACAGTCATGATAACAGGATTAATTGCATCAGGTATATTAGCTGCACAGACTTGGCCATATTACACAGCAGTAGGATTAGTTGGTACTCACCTTGTTAATCAGGTATGTTATAATTATCACATAATTTTTAAGTATCATATATTATAATTAAAAAAATTAAATTACATTAAAATTATTTTTTTTATTTTATATTAATAACATTATGTCATTTATTTTAATTTTATTATTATTTTACTTATTTCAAATAAAGGAAAATATTTTTAAATAAAATTAAAAAATTCTTTTTATATATATGTTATAAATATAAAATTTTAATAAAATAATATTTATTATATTTTTTTAGATATATAGTTTGAACATCAACAATCCTGCAGATTGTGCCAAAAAATTCATCTCTAATCACAGGATAGGAATGATTCTTTTTACAGGAATTATTTTAGGAAATCTTATTAAAGTTTCTAAAAAAGATACTGATATTGTACAAGAATCAGAAAAGAAATCTATTCTCATTAAACAAGAATAATGATAGTTTCATTATATTATTATAAAAAATTATTAAATATATATGTTATAATTATATATAGGTAAATTCTATATATTAAACATAGAAACACGAGATAAATAACTGGCTGGTTCCAGTAAATTAAAGAATTAGTTTTAATTACATGTGTGCCATAAAACAATTTTAATTTTCATTTATAATTTTATTATAATGTTTTAAATAGATGATACAGTTTCTTAAAATATTTAAATAAAAACAATTTTTATATAATACTATTTTAAATTTAAAAATTTAAAAATACACCAAAGATGACTATATGTAAGTAACTATTAAAGTTACTGTTATAAAATATTGATTATAATAATAAACAAAAATTTAAATAATACTTCTTTTATGCATAGTCCCAGATTTTTTCGGTAAAACTTATCTCATAATATTTTATGAGTAAATAAGACAAAATTACATAATAAACGTATGCTCATAAATGTTTTATTAATTATTAATTATTAAAAAATTATAGTAAAAATACAAAATAATAATAGATTAATTATAATTTTTTATTTAATACTATATAGATCAGTTTAGCATCCTTAATTTCAATACAAAACAAAGTATCTATTTATAACAATTACAGTGAATAATATTTTTGAAAATATATCAAATAGATATTAACAAATGTATTTTTATTTTGTATCGAATAAAAACTAATCTATAGTCGTTTAGTATTTTCATTATTTTGTAATAAAACATTTATAAGCCTATGTTTATAACATTCTTTTTTTATTTTTATTCATAGAATAGACTAAAATGGTTTACAAAAGAAAGTATAGGATATAATATTTATATTTAATATTTATTTATATATAATATTTATATATATCCATATATAATATTTATTCCTATTTAAAATTTAGATAAAAAATATAATAAATAATTATAATATGTTTTTATGTTAAATCAACTTACATTAGATAAAGTAATTTGGTCTTTATTACAATGTGTTTGAGTTTCCTTATTTATAATTTTTAAATCATTATTCAATAAAGTTTTTGTTGTACATACTTTTGATATTTCCAAATGATTCATAGTAACTTTTTGTTCTAATATTTTCAAATTATATTGTTCCTGAGTTAACAAAGATTCTTTTATTTTGTCTAAAAGTTTTATATTTGGCAATATTATAGCTATGTAGCCTCCTTTATGTGGAGGTTCCAATAAAAGTTTAGGATTTTCTATTAATGCTTCATTTACTTCTACCAATTTTCCAATTATACAACATTTAATAATATATGACTTTTCATTTGAACAAGTAATTATACAAATATTAGAATTCATTTGTAAAGGTTGAGCACCATGTTTACTTTTACCAGAAACTTTATTCAAGACTCTATCTAGTTTATTACTAACTTTAAAATTTACTTTTGTTATATATTTATCATTTTGAAGAATAGTATGACTTGGAGCAAGAGTAAGCATACAAATACGATTACTATGTATTAAAATACAAATATCATCTGCAGGACTTTGTACATTTAATTTATAATAAGCAGTAAAATATCGATCTGTAACTGTAGGAAATAATCCATGATATTTTATTCCTTCCAACATATCTGTAACATCATAATCCGGAGGAAATGGAAATAAAGTATCATCATCATCATTTTTATTTGATAATGTACTTTCTTCATTATCTTCATTATCTGTTAACTCTTCTTTTTTCTGATATTCAGAATTTTTATCTATATAATTTTTGTCTTTTAAAATACAAAATGAATCATTTTTTATATTATTAGATTTAGTTCTTTTTTTAACTGGTTCACTATTATCTGAATCAATATTCATTATTAAAATAATTAATTTTGTTGAAGATAAATTTTTAATATTATAAAAACTTTGAAAATTATTTATTAAAGTTAAGATACTGTCTCATAAACATTTATATTAAAAATTAATCTAAAAAAAATTTTGTATATTTATTGTTTCCTTGAATAATTATTGTATTTTCCCAATTTTTCACTAAAAATAAAATATAATTATAATTATAAAAATATAAAATTAACATATAATTATAATTAAATACTTTATTAATTATAATTTTATGATTTATTATACACAAATTTATAAAAAATAAAAAATTTAAATCATTCAAAATTTAATTATTTAATAAAACTTACGTTTCTGTTTTATGAAATAATATTTAATACATGTGTAATGAACATAACCATTTTTCACATTCTGTTATTTAAAATTTTTGAAGTGTTTATCATGAACTAATTATTAAATGAATTTATTGTAATATAAGTATTATAACATAACTTTTAACTTCAAAATATTAAACATATTATACAACAAATAATTTATAAGTTTTAACTTTAAAATATTAAACATATTATATACAATAAGTAATTATTTTTATAATATATTATCGATAGATAATTATAAAAATTTATATTATAAATAATATTTTTCAAAATAATCTTATGAATATACTTAACACGATTCATAAAGTTTTATTTAAAAATTTCAATTTTAATTTTCAATGAACTTATAGTATAATAATAGTTATAAAATTATTATTTAGAAGTAAACAACATCACGTGATTCAAATTTAGATAATTAAAATTAGCTTTACAATTCTGGAATATAGAATAGAGTTTTTTTTTTTCATAATAATTTATTTACAAAATTGCACGTTAATCTATAAATATAAATAATGCAATAATAAATAAAAATTGCTTTCAAAATAAAAATTTATAAATAGAAATTCATTTTCATGAAAAAATCGATCTAGCGAAAACTGATTCAATATAGTTCATATTTAAAACACTTAATTAAATATTTAAATATCTAAAGATTATAAAAATGATTCTTTAGCAATAATTAAATTTATATTTAATTTTTTAAATAACAAACTATCACATATAATTTCTTAGAAGTAATTTTTTATTTAGTCAAGTAGACAAGTGAAATTTAAACATAGTATATTATAATGTTAATAAATTGATAGTCAAAATGGCACAAAGGCAAAAAAAATATTCTTTTTCATTGATTATCAATACACGATGCTATATAATCTTGTATGACATTTTCAGCCAGTGTGCATATTATTTTTATGAATGTATTAATTCGTCGAAATTAACCAATCAGAATAGAATTCCTTTCGATTGCCAACTTACTAATAATTACACTATAAAAGTGATATTAAACCATAGTAAAATGATATCTATAAAAGTTAAAGAACGTTAAACATCTACTTTCATTCTGCTTAAAAATCTTAAAAAGTTCCTATTCTCGTATTTGCGGTTATGTTTGTCAAGGATTTAATTTATTTTAATATACATATTTTTAAAGTATAAATGGTGCCGAATCCTCAAAAATTTTATAAATGATTTGGGAAAACACAACGCTATTTTTATATATCTACCACGTCACTCAACTAAACGGGAAAATATACTTTAACGGTAAAATATGTGTTCATCAGAACTTTTAATTTTATAATCTGAACAAAACATGTCAGATAAAAAAGTGGATACAGAAATTGTGCGAAAGCAATATACAGATGATGCAAGTTTTATTGATGAATCTGAAATTATTGATGTGTCTGTTTTTGATTTCGATGATATTGATAGCTGGTAAGCAATTTTAATATGATAATATAATCGTTAATTATTTATATGGCGGTTATATATATATAGGAAAAAGTTATTGAATCCTGATTATATTTTAAGATTGATTGCTTTTTTATAAAATATTATCTATAATTTGTTATTATAATAAAAAATTTAACAATATTTTTTTAGAATTTAACAATAATTTATAAAATTATAATTTAAAGAGATAAAAAAAAGAAATGTGTATTAATATATAATTATATAAGTATAATTATTGACTTTTCAGCAATAATCTTGTAATATATTATCAGATTAATATTTTATATAATTTTTCTATATATTTTACATAATCGCCATTTGGTCTTAAATTTTAAGATATTTGCAAAAAAATTGTTATTATATTGAATTTCATGACAGCGCGAATTTATTACGAATATATATATATATATGAAATATATATGAAATACACATACGTGAAATTCAATACAGCGGCAATTATTTTTTTGGAAATATTTCTAAAATTAAGGCGAAGCATACGAAATATTATAATGTTATACGAAAAATTATTAAAAATGTTGATTTCTATAATATATTTCAAGATCATTGAAATCAATGATTTTATTTTCAATAATTATCTAATAATTAAATTAATATTTAATATTTTTTAATATTTCATTAATTAGAATACAAATTTTAAATGGATTTTAAATGAATCATTTGTCAAATTCTATATTTATCTATAAAATGCAATTAAATTTGTTTAAAAGCATTTGGTTAATAATGATATAATTAAATATTTATTATTATTATTATTTTTTAATAGGTTGTATATACCAACAGAATATAAAGGAAAACCCATTATTCATGATTTATATACTTGGTTAAAAACTGAGCCAGAATTAACTTTTTCAGGTATTAAAAATGTGATATTAGTAATCATTATATCATAGAATTATATTTATAGTTTTATATATATTATTTATATGTTAATTCAGCTAATAAAAAATCTATTGATACAAGAACATTTACAAGATCCAAAAAACGATCTTGTAAAGCTAGTTTTGAATCTATTTTGGAACCTTTATCTTCACCTGTATCAAATACATGGAGAACTTCAAATTTT